TGTTGCTTATGAAAACTTATTTTTCTCTGAATACCATAAAATTCACCACCCTTTTGTTTTTTGTAGTTTTTAAAAAAATTTGTTATTAGTATATCACCACCCTTTTGAATAATAGTTATTAAAACAAGAACCATCTTATGCTTTCTATTCTAATTTATCCAATTCTTTAAGCAGGAATTTATCTCAAGGATGATGACAGAGAACAAAAGTGAAAGAAGGAAAATGTCAAATTTGACCACAAATATGGCAAGATAACACATCTTTTAATGTTCTCTTATAGTCTAAGTTTAGACAAATGTAAATATTTTCTCATTAATAGCAATTCCATAGAAATTGTAAACTCTGATCAACTCAGAATAATGAGAGACACTGCCCGCTCTGCTTCATAGACTAGCATATAAAGTTTGGAAAAACCAATACGATATAGATTGGAATGTAAAATAAGTTTTTGGAACTATAGTCATCCCTGGTATGGAAGGACAGGGGTTGGTTCCAGGACCTCCAGATACCGAAATCCACAGATGCTCAAGTCCCCGGTATAAAATGTCACAGTTTTTAAGTATAACCTATGCACGTCCTCCAGTATACTTTAAATCATCTCTAGATTACTTATAATAGCTCATGCAATGCAAATACTATGTAAATAGTTGTTATACTATATTGTTTAAGGAATAGTGACAAGAAAAAGCTCTGTACATGTTCAGTAGAGAAGCAATTAAAAAAATTTTTTTCTTTCAATCTGCAGTTGGTTGAATCTACAGATGTGGAAACCCAAAGAAAAGAAAGGCTGACCGTATACTGAAGAACACTTTTAGATAAAATATTGAAAGGATAATTTCTAAAAGGGAGGATAGCAGTAATTCTTCTACCAGTGAACATCATTTATTAAAGTAGTATCCATAAAATCTTTATTTTTTTATTTATTTTTTGTCTTTTTCGTGGCTGGCCTGCATATGGATCCAAACCTTGACTCTGGTGTTCTAACACCTGCTATAATCAACTGAGCTAACTGGGCAGATCTCCTATAGGATCTTAGGGTTTCTTTTCACCGTTATTTTCCCAGGCAGAGAGAAAGATGTTTTAAACAGTCCTTACACTTACTAGGTGAAATCCTACTACTGCTTCAAGGTTCTACTCAAGTTCCTTTCCTCCATGGAATGCCACCTGACCCTTAACAGGATTCTGAAGGAACTAAATATGTACTGTTGTATGACCACTATCCCGCACCACTGTCTTAAATTACTAACCTATGGTGTATCTATGCTGGATGTCATTTCCTTAGCTAAGCTCCTTGAAAAAGGGATCCTGTCTAATATCTGACACAGCACCTAATGCAAAGCCAAGCAGTTGCTTCTCACTAAGTATTTAATATCTGATAAGGCATCTATCTTCATACTTTTCATACAAGACCTGTAAACATCCCCAGTTCATAACCATGGCACTAACAATAACATACTCTAAAAATGATTGAAATTAACAATCTACTGGTTTAATATTGGTGTTACATGTAAAAGCTTTCATATGTCTCACCAGACTTAATCACTTCATCTCTGGTAGCAATAACATAATCAACCATTTTGAATAAAACACCCTTTTGTTAAAGTTAGGTTTCCCAATATTGTTTAAAAGTTGAAACTGCATATCAACTAATCATTAGTCTACAGATGCTTAGAAATAAAACAATACTTCGCCTCTACAATTCAAGTCTAAACACTTTCTTGCAACAAAAGCCAATCTGTCTTTTTCAAGGGAGGGAGAACTGTAAATGGCAAGAATAACTTAAAGACATAACAGAACCAACTGTTTCTTTACTATCCTTCCTGTCTGTGGAACGATAAAGTAAAGTACTACAACATCAATCAACATTTAAAGGACTTAATGATCTATGAAAGAAAATAGACAGCAATTCCTTTGAAAAAAGCAAGCCAATCAAAGTTTTGTTTATATTATCAAATCAAGAGTGGAGCTTTGAGAAAATAAAATCACATTTGTGTTTAGAGATATAAGAGCAATATTAAGCACTTATGTAATATGAGAAAACAGACTGGGAGGGAGAGCTGTAAATGGCAAGAATAACTTAAAGACATAACAGAACCAACTGTTTCTTTACTATCCTTCCTGTCTGTGGAACGCTGGCCTCTTGCCTACCCTTCCAAACACAAGCTGTACAACCTTAATTAAACAGAGCTTTTTCTATAACTAATATCGATTCAACAAAATGAGCCCAAAGTTCCTATACGTTTACAAGGAATATTAATTGTAGTTTTTAATACAAATAGGAACCTAGGCCACCTAAGCCTTACCAGATATAATCAAAAAAATCTGAAAATATTTTACTACTAAGGGTTTAAATGGGTGCCTAAACAAATACTAAATACTGCAAAGACTCTCGTAATATTTATCAACTACAATAAGTCACAGAATTTTTGGTCATCTACTGGCAACGTCTCAGGGAGATGTCTAAAAAGGTGGCCTTAGATATTATAGAAACATGAAATACAGAATTGAGTTGTCACAGACCAATAAGTTTGTTCCAAACGCTGCCTTTTCACCTCCACTAGTCGAGCCCAGTTCTACAATACCAATTCTTCAGGTAACTATTTAGCTGCCCAGTGTGTCTCCTCTGGGTTGCCCATTTGCCTTCCAGATAATGCTGTAGTTGCACTGGCCTTCAATCTAACTAGATTGTTTTCCCAATAAATACTGCATCTTGGTAAAGGCAATCATTTCAACTTTTAGGGCACAATACAGAGGATACTACCATATCCTCAAGGGAGATGGAGACATACAGAACGAAATATAAGTCAGACTATAAATAACAATTTTCCTGACAGGAATACAGTAACATGGAAAGATCATGAACTGTGGTCATGGGCAAAAAGATCAGAGTTTATATAACTTATAAAATGGAATACCCCCTACTGTAGAGTTGCTTATGAAAATGAATAAAATAAGACTACATAATACAGTATGTTATATCTAATGTCCAAAATAGATATTCAATATATAATTATTTCCTTGCTGCTCATTTCCCGGCCCTCTACTAGATTTAGAGTTCTCCCAGGCTGGCCAAGTCAACTAAAAGTAGAGGACTTTCAATTGGGCAGTTCTTTGCCTCATAATCAAGTTTATTTTGAGTACAACTATCTCACATCTACCATCATTTTTTGTATTCCTAAAAATCTCCCATCTACTGTCTCCTGTTGGATTTAGGCCAACTTACTTTGGCTTGTCCTTTAGTATCCATGATTCAGTGGTTCTTCCCTGCTTGCCTCCTTAGTGTCTAAGCCAATGTTTTTGCTGTTTGACAGCATCTCTGCTGTACCATCTCCTATTTTTGCCTATTTCTTATTTCTACTTTATGTTAGGTGGTATGTAATTCCCTAATTACATGCCTTGTTACTGCTGTGTCTAACCTAGACACCTAAAACTGATGCATTTCTAGGCTCCACTATCACCCTTCTGATAACCTTGAATCGTTACCTACTAAATGCAACCCTAGAAAAGTTCCAACTTCCTGGTTACCCCTAAATCAGAGATTAAATGAGGAAATACCATCTTTGTCAGCTATTAGATTCAACAAAGCACTATCAACCACCTGATTATCTGAGGCCCAATTGATAATCCTAACCACAGGACTCACCTTAGGGAATTGACAGGGATTATGAGCTACCTTACAAGTCTCAAAAAATAAGGGCTAACTACTTAGCTCAGTTGGTTAGAGCACAGTGTTATAACATCAAGGTAAAGGGTTCGGATCCCCATACCAGCCAGGCACCAAGAAAGAAAAACAAACCATGATGAATGGCTGTGTGTAAAGCACTATCTACAGTCCTACAAATCTAGTTATACTCAGACATTTGCTTCATTAAAGGTTAGTCTTTTACTTGAAAATATTGCCCTAACATATCAGACAGCTTTAGGGTAGCATGCATATGAATTGATCAGGGAGAAGTCAGAACCATAAAAAGTCAATCAGTCAAATTAACCCCCTTCGCCTGCCCAGGGACGCAAGGCATTGAGCCCACCCCCACAACCAGGCACACTGCCAGTGCCGCAGGGCCCACCCAGGGGCCCAAGACATGAAGTCGGGGACCAGACCCCCACTCACAACCAGGTACACTGCCAGCGCCTCGGGGCCCACTGGGGGGGCCCAAGCCATGGAGCAAGGGACCAGATCCCCCCTTGCACAACCAGGCACACCACCAGTGCCAAGGAGAATGCCAAAAACATCACCTCCATTTGGGTGGCCCACCACAGCTACCACAGTAACCACAGTTGCCATGAAAGTGGCTAGACATTAAAACCACCATGCAGGTGGTCCACCAGCCACTGGAGTGCATTGACACAAGGAGAGTCACCAGCAGAGACCAAAGAAAAGAAGAGGATGGCTCTCTCCACAAAGCCCATTCCAGAGCGACAGAAGAAGCATCTGCTCTATGTTAATATTGGGGTAACTGAACACACCTGTCAGCATTAGGCAGATCATCTAGGCAGCAAATCAACAGAGTAACCATTACTCTTTCAGAGGGAGAGAAGAAATGTAGGGTTGTAAGTGGTGGAAGAGTGGAGGGAGAGGGGGATAGGGAGAGATTTGGATAACGGGCATAAAAAATAAGTACAATTTGTAACAATATATATACTAGTAATATTGATTTGATCAACATGTGTCAACACTGAACCCCCAAAATATGTATAATCAATTATGATTCAATAAGAAAAAGAGGAAAAAAATATCAACCCACTTCTTTGTGGTCAACAGGGTGACAACCAATACAACAGCATTGCCTCGACATCCAGGAAAACTAACTGCACAGCTATGGCCAACATAATGACTGTGTTCACCAGGATCATACTTAAGTTGAAGCTAACCAGTCATGGGAGATAGAAATGGAAGTCACACACAAATGAAGTTGGTCTCACTCAACTGTGCCAGTGCATGGTGGAAGACCACGTCTGATTGGTATTGAAGGGTCGGGGAAGGAAAAGAAAAAACCTACTCTGTTTTTTAAGTTCTTCAATTTGTTCTTCCTTTAGGTCTAACTGTTCTGTAAGTCTTGACGCTGAATCCAACACAGCATTTGTTTCATCCAAATGTTCCTGAGGGAAAAAGGTTATTAAAAAGCAGTATGCAAAAACAGTTTCACAAACTATAGAGCTGATAGACATCTTAGAGTCAAGCATTTACATTTTAGCTGATGAAATTTCACCTCTGGTTGGCTAAGTTTATGCAGCTACTAAGTACCAAAGATAGACCCCACACTCTTTCACAATAAAACATTACCTCTTTCAGAGGAACTAAATAAAAAGAGAGAATGCTATTAAAAGACAACATGATGACAGAAATAAAAAAAAGTGACAATAAGAAATAAAACTTCAAAGAATGGACACAAAAAGTCAAGAAATATAACAACAAATGTTCTTGCTCTTTTTAATTTTTGCAAGCCTAATAAAGTGATATTTCACTGTGATTTTATTAGTTTAAATGTTATTTCCCTATTACTGAATTTGAGCATTTTTTTCACGTTTGCAGGATAGTTGGGTCTGCTCTTCTGTGCAAACCTCTTTGCATACATTGCTCGTGTTTCTAATGAGCTGCCTCTTCCTTGTCAATTTGTAAGAGCACCTTGTATGGTAGATGTAAACCCTTTGTCATCTGTGCTACACAAACACCATTTACCACATATGCCATTTGTCTAATGACTCTATGATGTCTTTTGCCATGTAAATTTTTAAGTTGTACATAGTCAAGCATGTCCTACTTTGCTTTTACACCTTCTTTAGTCTTGGTTAGGATCGTCCTTGCCCCTAGATTGTACATGTACCCTTCTAGGTTTTATTACAAGATATTTTGGTTTTTATATTTAAATGTTTAACAGAGTGTTTCTCAATGGGAGTGCTTTTGACATTCCTGGCAAACTAAATACTGGGAGAGCCATCTAATCACTGTAACAACCAAAAATATCCCTAGGTATTCAGTACCATTCCCAGTAGAGAATCCTCATTCTAATACAACTGGAATTTATTTTTGTATATGGTATGAGATCGGACTCAATTTTATTTTCTTTCATATGGACAGCCAGTTGTGCTAAAATCATTTATTAGACAATCTATCCTATTTCTCATTAAATTAAAGTTAGTTTAGTTTTAAATTCTCAAGTATATTCTACACTCTATTTCTGGACTCTGCTTCTGTTCCACTAATCTAGTCAATATTGTATTGACTTATGGCTCTATTTCAGTATCTAACAGGCCAGTCCCTCCTCACTGTTGTTCTTTCTCATAATTTTCTTCGTTGTTTTTGAGTATTCATCGATGTAAGTTTCAGGTCAAGTTTTGTCATCTTCAATCACAGTGACAGCTTTTTTGATGTGCCATCCTGAACAGGCTACAGTCCTCTGTTATTCAAACATAATCTAGATGTTGCTGTGAAGACATTTTGAAAATGTAATCAAAGCCCTTAATCAGCTGAATTTAAGGAAGGGACATTATACTGAATAATCTGAGTTGGCCTGATTAAACCAGTTCAAAGTCCTTAAAAGCAGGAATTAGACTTCCCCAAAAAAGAGAAAAATTCCTTCTGTGGACAGCAGCTTCCACCTGTGCCTATGGAGTTCCATCCTGCTTGTGATTTTCATTTCTTCACTGCCTACGGACAATAGCTTTGGTCCATGCCTGTGAGGTCCAGTCCACCCTTAATGTAGTCTTCCCATCTGCACTGCCAGCCTACAAATTTCAGACTTGCTTTGCCAGCCCCCACAATTGTGTAGCCAATTCTTTATAATAAATTGTGTATGTGTGTAATCATACACACCATATATACAAATTTGTCTGTATATGCATATGTCACACACACATGCACATCCCACCAGTTCTGCTTCTAGGGAGTGAACCCTGACCAATACACAAGGTGACTGAAACAAGAAATTCTAAATAAAAAATTTATTATTCAAAATCGACAAAACTAAACTTACTGTGAATGAAATTTAAATAAACTTCCAAATTACTTTTTTAACCCTGTAGCATTTATACTTACAAAATTATTAAAGCTTAAAACAAGACTAAGACTTTTTACACTAAGACTTTTTCAAAAATCAGCATTTATACTTCATTTTTCTTTCTACCATTTGTATGGTTTCTATTTCAATAATTCCAGGTTTTATCCTTATTAGTTCTCTTTTGGTTATTTCTCATTTATTTTGTTCTTTTTCTAAATGAATATCACATTTTAAATTAAAAAAAAAAAAAACCCTAGTTTTAAAAGAAGATCTGAACTTCCATCCTAGCAGTTTGACAGGATGGACTCACTGGAAATAACTAAGTGTTGAATAAAATATATCTTCTTAAATGTATTAATGAACTGACAAGAAAGCGAGCATAAATGATCAATAAAAATATTAAAAGATGCTCGATCTCATTAGTAATCAGGGAAATGGAAATTAAAACCACTAGAAGATAGTACTTCTGCTACTGTTTGAATGTGTCCCCTCAAAGTTCATGTGTTGGAAACTTGATACCTAATACAGTGGTGTTGGGAGGTGGGGCCTAATGGGAGGTATTTGGTTCATGAGGGCACTGCCGTCATGAATGAATTAATGCCATTATTGTGGAAGCAGGTTCCTTAT